TATGACTTCTCTAAGTCTGACATCTGATTTTCTATCTTAACTTTCCCTAAAGATTGCCTAAAGTTCTATAACCATCTGGGCTCCCTTGTTTGTGTCCTATTTTTCTCTTCATGGAAAGGGATTCAGATTTTATGTCATTTCTGTAGGGGGAAGTCCTGCTACCTGTTAGCATAGTGCCTGATTCTCCAAAAAATTAATCATAATGCTGTGTCTTTAATGTCTCTCACTGAATTACAAATTGGGGAGCTGCCACTTTTCTCATTTATTCATCCTAATTACAATTGCCCGGTCACTGAGATGCCAGCCTGACTAAGAGCAAATCAGGTAGTGACTCCCCAGGGTCTTCTTTGTAACAAGAAGGCTGTCTCTAGTGGCTTCAAAATGACAATTTCCTCTCTTTTACATCAAAGTAGAATGCTACCCCTGGACAGTTTCACATTTGTTTTTTTTCACTAGCCTCTCTCCTGAGTTGCTTGATTAACATCTCAGTCACCTAAGAAATTAGACTAAAGTTTGTACCTTAGAAGAAGAAGGAAATAATTTAGGAAAAGAAAAAAAATACAGCATTAAAAAAAAAAATATTGAAAAATTTTCTTTCTGGCAGAGAAGGAGTTGAAGGTACAAAAGAAATGGAGCTGTGATATTTTGCTGCCTGAAACTGTATCTGATCTGAAGGCAGGACTGGCTTCTTGTTTAGGAAATATACAACACTTTCCTTCAGAAATTTTAAAGGGACAGTTAATTTAGTCCTCTTAGAAAAAAAAAAAAAAATTCCATCTCTTTTTTTGATAAGCAACTTCAAATAATATGTCATAAACTCTATCAGTTTCTGGGCCTCATGCTGGGCCCCTCCCTGGGAGTCTCCTTGTTGGAGAAAACCCTCCCGGAGCCGTTCTGTGTCAGAGAAAGGAGACACACAGCACATTTTCCATCCAGCTTCTTGAGTATTGTTATCTTATTTAAAGTTTGCATGCCATCTATACCAGACTCTGCACACTGGAAAAGCACCGAAAAAAATGGCCAAAAATCTCTTGTTACAAGGTCTTTTAAGACCAAGTTATCCAATTAAGAAATGACACCTAGATTATTTTCCTTTTTAACCCAATAACTGATCCATCAAAGCCTGCAATGAGGATTTTTCTACCCAATTACAAGACAACACCCAAACCCATGAAGAAGAAGGAAGAAGAACGAAGAAGGAGATCAGGACAATGCCCTATGCCCTCCATCTTGTTCTCATCTACAATATACTAAAAATCCCAAAATCTAAATTTCTCACCCAGGTGACATACAATACTATTCTCTATAATCTATTTCACACTTTTGTGGAGACTCTAGTCTATCTTGAAGTCTTGGAAGCTTTCTCCATGAATGAGAGTCAAAGCCAGTGCTTCTCTGGGGTTCAGGACCCCCAGAGCAGACAGAGAAATATTCCCTGTGCCCTGGGAAACTACAACGAAATATCAAGGAAGATACTTTGATTCCAGTGTAGTAGTGTCACCATAGATTCAGTTGCATGATGGAGAACCTGTGGAGTTGCGTTATGTATATGTTTTATTATCCCTGTATTATGTATTGGTTTATTCCTTTGTACCCCCGTGTGCAACTTGGTTTATCCCCAGTTTTCCCGCCTTGTCCTCCCTTCCCGCCTTTCCAGTATCTATCCATCACCCTGAAAGAGGCATTTTACCCCCCCCCGGGTGCCTTGTCTGTCACTCAGTGCCCCTTCCCATCCATCCAGAAGCTTCTACTCAGGGCACCGGGTGATTGGGCGAGGACCTGGGGCTCCCCCCATATCCTTCCCCCATTGGACCCCACCATATCCCCCCATCCCGGAGCCACCCCCTATCCCTATCCCCATTGGTCGTTGGATACCCCTCCCTTACAGTTTATAAGCCAGTGCAAGCACCTCGTGCTTGTTCCTGTTGGCTGGCACCGTTCTAGGATATTTGGCCCCGTTGGGCTACAATAAACTCGGACTTAGCCCCCAGCAGGATCCGCTCTTCATTTACCACCACGAGGCTTGCTAGCGCTGCCCGGGACCCACAAAGGCACTCTCCAAACCCCAGCTGGGAGCGGCGGAGGGTGCCTCCATCGCCCGCCCTCGCCCCACAAGAGCTAGCCGGGGCTGAGACAAAGGGAACCGGGGCGGGAGCGCGGCAAGAACCTAAGACTTCAAGCTGCTGGTTATATTCTTTCTACTTGGCCTTTCTAACACAAAGATTATATATCCACACCAGCTGGAGAGATGCTTCTATGCAAATACCATGATGGTTTAGGACTGTGTATGAAAACCAGAAGTCAGCCTAGATCCCTGGAGCACATAAGCCTTACTGGTTATGAAACTCTTGGTTCTGTCTCATTGAACTACCTGATTTGTCTGTTTCTTCCAGCTCCTGAGACACCTGCCACCCTAGTTCTTAGACACTAGGTACAAGGATTAACACAACATAAGTGTTGTCCAAAGAGACAGCAAGAAATCCTTTCTTTTGTGAATCACTGGCATGCCTGTGCTCCTCATGGCTATCTTTGCTGCTTCCCTTTCTCCTACATGATGCAGCCAGGAAAGGAGGACACATGTAAGCACTTTATCTTAAGGTCCCTTGCACAAGCATGACGGAAGGAGCCCTGTTGAAACTCTGCAGCAATCAGCAGAGATGGTTAGTGGTGGGTTTTTTTGTTGTTTTGTTTTGGTGGGGGTTTTTTTGGTGGTTTTTGGGTTTTTGGGTTTTGTTGTTGTTTTTCTTTTTTTTTTTTTTGTTGCTGTTTTATTTTTATTACTGGTTTGGGTTTGCATTCAGAATCACAATGTTGTTGATTTTTTTTTTTTGTTTTACATTTCTTTTCAACACCCAAAAGATTTACAGAAATAAGTCTGAAAGAAATCTGGTTAATATCCTGTGCATGTCTCATCCTAAAGAGAAAGATGGAATAATTTGCAGTGTCCAGTTGCACTTGATCAAATGATTACTGTCTTTCCATCTGGTTGTAAAACATTCCCACCTTTCACTAATTCGTCTAAATTTCTGCTGTTCCAGTCAAACTGGAATTTATTACTGCCCACTTACCCTGATTTATTTCTGAAATTATTTGCATGGCTTCTGTCAATGCTATTTGCATATTTTTATTATGAATAGTGCTTATTTGGGGGCAGAATTGATTTATGAGTGTTTGGCATGCTATGCCCAGTTATTTAGTTTTAATTTCTGATTTGCACAAAGGGAATGAGAGAAGTGGTAATTCTTTTTCTCTTGATGCAGAATATGTGGAGGACCAATAACACTTGAATAAGAAATTATTGTATTTTTTTTTAATTTTGGTTTTAGGGTTAAATTGTCAAATGTAAACAATTACAGGTCTTGTCAAGGCTTTATAGCAAATAAAAATTATTCTTTCTTATACTCAGCTCAGCTCAAAACCAGTATTGAAACTTGAAGAGAAAAATGTAATCACTGAAACAAGTGTGAGGAAGGCAGCAAAACGGCACCAATGGGAAAAACTTTTTCTTTCTGTCACAGTATCTTCATCCATACCAAAGAGAAGAGGTATATGTTCTTCCATAGAGACAATGAAATACTGTTTGATGCTCCTTTTGCTTTCTCTCATGCAAACTTACTTTCACTCACAGAAAAAATGAGGCAATAATTCTTTCCACTTTTTTTTTTTTTTTTTGGTAAAATTTTTTTTTAACTTTTTTTTTTTTTTTTTTTGACATATTTTTGAGATAGAGGGTCAAAAGATATCTGTATCTTACTTCTCATTGAAGTCAACTTTTAAGTTGTTTTTCAGTGGCCAAAAAACAAGAGAAAAAAATAGGGGAAAAAAAAACAACTTGAAAAATTTTGAAATTTCTTGAATCAGAGCTGACTTTCACAGTAGTCTTTTTTGGCTCAGGAGCTGGTTATGAAACCAGAGACCTCTGGTAGCAGAGGTAGAAATCTTTACAGCACAGAGTGGTTACTATTTCATGACTACTCCTTCCTACAAAATTTTATCTCAAAGACTTGATGGATTATCACCTGAGATCTACACTCACACAGCTCATATCTCTACTGATAGAAAGAGTCTGAATTGGCACTTTTAAAAGAGTAGATAATGTGAATATGTGGGTAGAATTCACATAATTTAAATGTAGCCATCTCAGAGTTGGGTCTCTAACAAAACCACAATGTTGTAAGGAGAAGCATTTCTGGACAGTAAGTAATATCATCAGTTATAGAGAAATATCACAGCCTGATTGCAAGTCTGACTATTCTTAAACAAGCACAAGGAACTATTCCCGGGGGAAAGTTATAATTAATAGTTCAGCCTCTACTAAATTAGGTAGAATAGAGAGTATTCTGTGTAGGCTGCTGTAATCACTTGATGTAAAAATATAGTTACTTCAATAAGCTTCATTTAGGTTGAGTTGCAGTAGCACTAATACTACAAAACTTGTGGAAAATACTAGGCTCTTCCTTGCTGCACTGTCAAAGAATGAACAATTGCTGGAAAACTGTCCTCTGTAAACCAAAATCCTGTTGAAGTAAAATATTATTATTACATTTTATATGTAGGGATGGAGTGCACACATCTCATATTACTTAGTGAACTTGTACCTGAAAAACAAGAGCAAAATCCAGTTTCCTTAAATATCTGTATTATGCTGAATTTAGTAAATCCTCCCTTTTTAGAAATCACTTTTTCCATGGTGTATAGAGAAGACTGCAGACCAACCTAACATGGTCCAGGAAAAAGGGCAGTTTTAAAAGGAGGTATTTGTTTTGAGACTCTTTCAGCCTAAGCTTTATTGTTGTCTCCTGTCCCTGCTCTTATTCCCTTTTTTGAGATAGAATTTAGTCTCAGAGAATGACTCCCAGAAAGATTCCCAGAGATGAGCACTGCTAATGCAAGTTTTACTCAAGGTTTACTAAGCTTTCTTCCCACCAGAGGAAACCACGTCTAGGGCATGGATGATTCTTGTTGCTCTTAGGAGGGCAGGATGTGTTTCTGGCACTTACCTCACTTCTGGAGACTAAGTAGGAATACTGGCAATGATGGTATTTGAAACAACTTTCTTCCATGCACTTCAGTTTAGAATGCCACTGAAAAAAATCCCTCATTCTCATTTAGCTGGTTGCTATGTCATTAACTCACTATAGAGCCCCCAAAATGTCCCATTATACCGTACTTTCAAGCTTTTGGCTGCTAATTAAACATGGAACATTCTGGATTGTTACAAGTCTGAAATTAAAGGAAGGAAAACTTACATTATGAATAATGCTGTTAAATAAAAATAATAATAATAGGATTAATGGACATCCAACTATGTACATAATTAGTCTAATTCCAATGAGAGGGTGATGGTGAATGTTTTATCAGTGTCGCCAAGCCCTTCAAGTATAATTACGGACCTATTTTTTCAATGCCTAGTGTGTTTTATTCATTATATTATGTGAAGAATTGAGCGTCTGCTAAAAAAAATACAAGGCAGACAATTTAAAACCGTTTCAGAAGGATACTTTTATGTTTTGTTTGTTGAGAAAGTTTTAGGTTATTTTCATTGCCTTATTTTTGTTCTCATTTTTGATCAGTAATTTTAGTGTCTGTATAACCTCTACCAATTTCATGAACAAAATAAGCTACAATAATGAAAATACAGGTCTCCAAATCAAAGAGGAAAAAAAGGGCTACTCACTTCCAAAAGTAAAGATTTCTAAAGTAGAGGTGATTACGTTATTTCTGGATTATCAAGTATATGTTAAGAAAGACTTCCAATCCTCCATCCACTTCTAGGTACTGCTTAGACTCACTCAGTGAACATTTTGTTATGCAGGTCAGCTATATGTTAAAATAGAATAAAATCCACTCACACCACTTGTTTGTATTTAAAGCTGTTTCCAACACTTCTTATCTAATTTTTAAAGGTGAATAAATTATTTATATTCTTATAATGTCACTTAATAAAATGTATCTCATCTTTTGTTTTATATCCCTATTCCAATAGGACCTTATATAATCAAGCATTGAGTAAATTTGGGTCAGCAACTGACTGCATCTTACAAGACATGACTGGTGAAGCCTAGACATCTCCTTCTTTTTCCTTTTTTGACAACCTGCAAAAAGTCATACTGAACAGTAGCCTCAGGACCACAATAGTTTTAGTTGCAGAGGACTTTTGGAGGTCATCTGGTTAAACTTCCATCCTGAAACAGGGCTAATTTGGATCAGGTTATTACATGGAATAATGGATCAATTTTACGTGGAATTTTCCCTCAATCCTGGGGATGAAAAGGGGAAAGGATCCTAAAATATCAGGCATTTAGCAGAAGCTCACTGAAAAAGGATGTTCCAATCCACAAAATACATTATTTTTTTTGAAAGGTATTTTTCTCATGCAGATCCTTCTATTCTTCCCTGGAGTAGAATATGAAAGTAGTCAAGCCGACTTCTATTGTGAGGAGTTCAAGTACAAGATATTTTTCTAGTGAGTACTTGATAAAACGAAAGTAACATCTCTAAATTTAAGACTGAGAAAAATACACCTGAACATTAACAAACTGCAAGTGGTTTTGACATTCTGCAATATTGACAGAGCAATAATTTGAATTTTGATGAGTAACAGCATAAAGAACCTTGTCTCTCTAGGACTGTGTGGTTGCTTTTTTCTTTTTATTTTGACAACAATGTAGATTTAAGGCTGACAAAACCTTTAAAGTTGCAGAGAAACAACCCTGAAACTTCACGTCCAAAGCTATTGGTTTGGATGACTCTGCGCTTTCTTGCCAAATCCAACTATTTCCACAATGCCCTCTCTTCCCTCTAAAATATATAAAACATAACCATGCCATTTCAAACTATGTCCAGGAAACTTTCCTGTTTCTCTTCCACAATATCTTCAATGAGGGTCAAATCTAGACAGAAAAGAATATACAAAACTTAGTGTGGATAACTTCATTTATTCACTGAGGCTTTATAGTAATGATCAGCTACTTGTCTGGATTTTGCTCCATGTTTTGTTTTTTACTAATTGGAAATTAATCCTGGGAGTGTATGTCAGAATGGCTAAAGATTGTCCTTTGGAGGTCTTATGGTTGGAAAGCAGTAACTTGTACAGCATGCCATGACTGCAACAGTTCTGTGAAAGTTGTAAATGTTTCCAGGCTGGTTTTATTTAGTTCTTCACAATATCCAAGATTTTTGTTTGGTTTTTTTTGGTGTTTTATGTTTTTGTTTTTGTTTGTTTGTTTGTTTGTTTTTTTGTTTGCTTGTTTGTTTGATTGCAGACACATTTCTCTGATTTCTGGTTTATTTCCAGACCTGAGTGATTTCGTATCATTTGAAAAGTCAGAATTTTCAAGGTCTTCATCCTCATCCTAATCCAACAGCTCACTGAACAAGGATAAAGGAGCTTGATTATGAAAATATCTAAGCTCTGTGTTTTGCTTGTGTCTAGTAGCAATTATTTATAGTTAGGATTTATATTTTGGCATGATCATTATTATTAGCACTGCTTCATTTCCAAATACTGAAGAAATTATGCTGAAAAATGCAGTTTATTTGAATATTAAAATTCTCTAGCCTTAATTCTTTGAAAAGAGTGGTCAAGGGAATAAATAACCATGACAAAAACATCCATTTAAAATCAATAGATCTAAAACTACCAAAATTTATAGCGCTGTTCAAATCTGTCCTTTATTTATCATGATAATAACAATAACTTATTTTTATAGAACAATGTTCCATGAAACAGGGTGAAATGAATAGGACAATAATCCTTGTCCTAATTTTTTAGTAACAGACCAAAGCAAACAGGTTTCTAAAGGGTAAAATGTCCTTTTAAAATATGTTCTCTCTCCTTCTCCCCTCTATAACCTTTGCCTTCACATTTTTGAAACTTTCTCTCTTCCCAGGATTCAATGGCACTGGACCGCTCAGTGTCAGCTGTGCTAGTCATGGTTTTCTTAAATTCCAGTGTGGGTTTCCTCTAAATCCATTTCAGCCACATGTGCCCCCTGTCTACAGGGTTCCTGACCAAATACCAACCTCCTCATCTGGGAGGACCATTTTGCCTTTAGAAGGTTTTTCAGTTTGTTTTCTTTGACAGCATATGCATGTGTGAATGTGCTGTCACAATTTGCAAAATGCATAAGGGAGTCAACACCTACTCATAACATTTCTGAGTCTGCGATTTGAGGTTAGTGAGTCTAAAATCAAAATTACATCTAAGAATTTCTATATTGTTTGTCTTGTTTGGAGAGACTACAATTCAGTGTACATCTTCCTTCCTACAGCAGAACATAACTTGCCAGGCTAGAAAATTCACACCGTCAGAAAATAAAGTCCTTGTCCAATCTTGAACATATGGGTAACTGGTAACTTGGCTATTTGAGTAACTGAGTTAAAATCTTCTTTAGAAACTTGGTGATTTTTAAGAAATTGTGTTTTCCTTCAGCTTCAAGTATAGTCAGAAGAGACTGATAGAGCTTCTGAGGGACTTTATGCATCATTACTCTTCAAATGAGCAAGCTGTTTTGGAAAACTTAGATGTGCTCATAATTCTAATAACTACACAGACGTCCTAGACATTCTTATCTTTTTACTCAGTCTGGAACAAAATATCAATATGAGTCAGAGAAGGGTGTTTGGTTCTTCATTTTAATAGTCATTCAACCCACTGTGAAGTAGCAAAAAACTCAGGTCTTGTAATGAGTCTTTAAGTGAGGTCAGACATACTCTTCAGTCATACTCATTTGAATAAGGAGGTACTGTGAGCAGAAGGAGTGAATAAAATGTTCCAGAACTGAATTATGAGGGAAGGTGGGAGTGCTTGTCTATCACAGCCAGAAAACCTGTCTTTTTCCCAGAAAATAAATTACTCAGCTCAAGAAAGACAATATCTGGCCAGCAAAGGTTATTCAAAAGCAGAGGAGTTAAGTCTGTAGACTCAAAGGCCATTGTCACCAAACAGAGAGGATTATGAGCCATGTGACTATTTCTGAAAAAAAAAGAGGAAAGTGGAGGGCATGGAAGAATGTCGGTAACACAGAGTGCAAGATCAAAATCAGTCTCGGTCTTTTTGTTTGTGATGAATGCCAGTGTTCTTTGAGATGTGTGACAGAAAAAAATTATGAACACTTCAGCCACTTAACACTAAAAATCCTTCTACACGTTCATCTTCAGAATGAATGGCATAGTTTCAAACCAGACATTTCATACACTTGAGTAGCAGTTCTGTTATCTATCAGCAGTAGGAAGCAACTATCACCTTAAAGACATCAGGGAAAAATAGAAAAAAAAAATCCTTATGTCTGACTGGAAAAAAATCAGTTATATTTTTATTTTATTTTGGTAAAGAGGCCTTCATATCAAATCAGTTTGCATCACCAAATTGAAGTTAGAGGCACTCACTTCTTGCCAGCTTACTGAAAGGGAGACATGGCTGACTGATGACCTGCTGCCTTCCTTGTCTTTTCTGATGGACTCTACCACACAGGTCCTCATTTTACCTCAGTTTACCACTGAAATGTCTGATGAGAACTCTCTTCTAACTAGGAGTTCATTATGAATGGAAATTAAAACATTGCAAGGATTGCAAAAATTCCAATTAGTACCATGAAGGACAGAACAAGACAAAACTAAATCATATCTCCTAGAGTTTTTCAGTATCAGGTCAAAAATAAGATGGATTTTGACTGCATAGGACAAAAAAAAAAGGTGTCTTACTGGTTGAATTGACTATTTTGCCATATATTGTTTTTCTATTTACTTCATCTTGTTTTTCTGTTTTTGGTTTTTGGTGGGTTTTCTTTTTTTCAGTTCTTAACATTCTAGAGATATACATATGTACATGCACACATAAAAAGTTAACCTAATTCTGAGACATTTTTGAGTGAAATAAAGAAGTACAGTGATAAAGGGCTTTATTTGAACAAAACAAAACAAAAGATACCACAGTTTTCCACTTGTGCTTTCAGACATTGTCTTTCAAATATTCTTGGGCAGTTGTCCAAAATTTCTTAAGCATTGGGACTTCTAAACCTACATCTATAGGTTTTTTTTCTACAGAACAATCCCATCATCACTGAAATGT